AGCTCAGGCCTTCGTATGCATCAAATAATCCACACAGGAGAAAAGCTATATAAATGTATGGAATGTGGAAAGAGTTTCCGTAGCAGCGGAGACCTTAAATTACATGAAAGACTCCACACAGGAGAAAAGCCATATAAATGCTTGGAGTGTGGAAAGAGTTTCCGTGTAAACACAAGCCTTAAATCACATGAAAGAATCCACACAGGGGAGAAGCCCTACAGATGCCTGGATTGTGGGGAAAGCTTCAGTCATAGCTCAGGCCTTCGTATGCATCAAATAATCCACACAGGAGAAAAGCTATATAAATGTATGGAATGTGGAAAGAGTTTCCGTAGCAGTGGAGACCTTAAATCACATGAAAGACTCCACACAGGAGAAAAGCCATATAAATGCTTGGATTGTGGAAAGAGTTTCCGTCTCAGCACGTACCTTAGACTGCATGAAAGAATCCACACAGGGGAGAAACCATATAAATGCCTGGAGTGTGGAAAGGCTTTCTCCAGCGGCACACAGCTGACGGAACATTATACAATCCACACCGGAGAGAAAAAATATAGATGCAGGGACTGTGGGAAAAGATTCAGATGGAGAGGCTATTTTATATCCCACCAAAGAACGCACAAAGAGGAGGAATCGTAGAAATGATCAGACGAAAAGTTTTTTTAAATACAACAAACCTTACGGATGTCAAATAAATTACAGAGGACCCCCCAATTTATTAATAATTAGCAATAATTAATTTTTAGCAAGTCCTCAAACCTTAGTAAACAGCCAGGAATCTAATAAGGGAGAAGTGCTCAAGAGATGTGTGGTAAACCTGACCATGTAATATTGCTTATTATTCATAATCTTCCTACAACGGGTAGATATTCTGTCAACATTAAAATGGCACTATTTGCTCTTTGTGGGTTTAGCTGATAACCCCATGAGACAATAATGGCACCAAATAGCCCCAAGGATTTAATTTCTCAGAAATGTGCTTGCAGATGGGAAACTCCCCACAAAGGGCTGCAGATTCACTCTTGCTTGTCAAGCCTTCTGCAGCCCAGCATTGAGTCCTTTGTTCCCAGTGACTACAATACACTATTTACTCGCTTCCTGGTTTTCAGCCAAGTCATCCTGGCACATCTTTGGACCATTCTCCGTAGGCAGAGAAGATGCCCATTTCCGAGCCTTATCAGTTGAGATCTGCCTTCCATCTTGAAAGCAGAGAGGCTGCTATTACCCGCCATGGCTGTTCTGTATGTGTTGAGTGTCCTAAAGCAGGGGTGTCTAACCTTCTGACATATTGGGGCCACATAAGAGTGCTCTGTGTCTAAAGGGGGCCACATCTTAGACCAAACGTAAATATTCAGAGGTTAATGATGAAATGTTAACTTGAACGGAATCCATTTTGGAAAAATATTTTACTCTGGAATCCTTTTATCTAGCTACACATGCTCCCCAAGTCAGTGTGATTTTTGTGGTTGGTTTCTGTGGCTGTTTTCTGGTAGCCAAGGCATTAATGCCGAAGTCAAGGTTTGTGACGGATACCCTTAAAATGTCATGTAAATGTTTATCTGTAAGTCTTGACCTACACTTGAATTTTTATCTTGGAAAGGTTATTCACAGATGTATGTGATGCCAGACTGTGAACATGCCTGCAGCAAATTTCTTTAGGTTGATAAATATATCAGGTAGACCAGAATAGAAACCTAACAAACTACTTTCTTTGTAAATGTCTCGGAAATGATCACTGGCTTGCAAATCAATTAGTTCCATGTGAAAAAAGTTACTTGCATTTTCTGGTGCTATTTCAAATGGGTTCTGAAACATTCTTCTTTCCCTTTCACACTTATGGCAATTAGTGAATCTATTCTGAAATTCCATCTGCAATAGGTTCAGTGCTTTGATGTGTCTTTCAACATTGAAGTGTAAATTTCTCAAATTTTAGTCCATTGCAGTATAAGTTTGAAAAGTTACCTTCACCAACTTGCTTCACAAAAATGTTTAGTTTTGCTTCAAAAGCTTTCCATTCAGAATACATGTTACACATGAGCTTTCCTTTTCTCTGCAACCCTAGATTATATGTGTTCAGATGCTCTGTGATATCAGTTAAGAAAGCCAAATCAAAAATCCACCCAGGGTCAAAAAGTACTTCTTGTCCTTTTCCTTTCTCCTTGAGAAGGACGTCAACTTTGTTGTTCTTGTTCAGTTCAGCTCAGTTCAGTTAACCTTTATTGGCATAAAAATACCTTAAAAGAGGATTACTATAAAAAAGGAAATCTACATTTAAAACCATATAGAGCTGAGCATTTTAACAACTACATAATATTGCATAGTATTGTGTAAAACAATTTACTCGTCGGAAATTTTCCTGGCGTAGCTTTATCGCTGATTGTAAAAACATGGCTACGTTCATTGATATTTCTGGAACAGAGTCATTTAGAAGATGGCGCACTTTTAAAGCAGCAGGAAGGTTCGTCATGTTGGCTAAGATAGGATTTAAATATCTAGCACATAAAACCTCATAAAATTGACAATGCAAACACATATGCGAAACAGTTTCAATATATCCAGAATTGCAACGGCAAAGTCTATCCACATATACTATGTTGTTATAGCTCCCATGCAAGATCGCCGATGGTATTACATTGAATCGTGCTGGAGAAAAGGCTCTGCGCTGTTGCGGTGCTTGTTATACTAGATAGATATGGGGCCATTCGGCCTACCGTAAGGGGCATCTCAAAGTTCATGGGGGAACAAGATTTGTTGGCTAAGCCGTAAAGCCTTTGTGTTTCAATGTTGAGGACATTCTCCCTTACTCTTTTGGAAGTTTATCCTTTTTTATCCTATCTTATTTTAAGCCTTTTAAGTCTTTATGTCGTTATGAAACAGCTTGAATGATAAGACGCTACTGTGGGAGTGTAAGAATTTTTTGGCGCAGTGCTAACGAGCTGAGGAAATCATGACTGCAAGGAAACGATGACGCTCCTCCCTAGAAGCAGTCGGATTAAAAGCGGGCCAGCAGGAAAAGATGGACAAGTATGTTTCGGATAGGAGTGCTACTGGCTCTAAGTCTGGTGAAGCTGAGCTTTCGAACAGATTTACAACCTTGGAACCTACAACCTCCTTATTACCGGGAGATGTGAGTGGAACTATGAATGAGGAGGATTCTTCTTTAAGCCCAAACTCTCAGCTGCACTGTTGTCAGCGATTTTCATCACTACTTATTGAAACTTTTGCCAAGGAAGCTTTTTTAACATCCCAAACCTTGTAAATGCTGATGACAAAAATTAAGGACATGGATGAAAACATAAGGCTAAGTGAGGCTATTAAATCTTTGGCAAACCCTGCAAAGTGCAAGCTACCCAGAGACAATGAGCTCTGTGGATTACAAAACTTGAGAGATAACAGTCGAGGACAACATCTGTTTCACTGACTGCAACGGGATCAGTTGGCCATTTCATATAAGGAGTTTGTAAGCCACTCTGAGACACCTTTGGGTAGTGAAGGCCGGGGTATAAATCCAATCTCTTCTTCCTCTTCTTCTTCTATTAGCCACAAGGTATAGATAGGAACTCTCAGGCTGGGGCGCAAGTGATGCTCTGTCTTCTTGGTGCTTCTAGTGTCCTGCCCCCACTGCTGGACCTCCTGATGGCACCTTGTATTTTTGGCCAGTGTGTGACAGAGTGTTGGACTGGACGGGCCATTGGACTGATCCAACATTGGCTTCTCTTATGTTCTTATGATTCTGCTGGCTGAAGCTCAGTGTGATTCAGCACAGCCAGTAGGAAGGAGGGAGGGAAGACTCTTTAAATGCCTAAGTTCAGGCAGTGAGTTGCACCGTGGTGGTGGCATAGGATGGCCTGGAGACTAGCTCTATACTCAGTATTGTCTACTCAGACTGATTCAGCATAAGGCACTTTATGTGCACTTTCCCTTTGAACGTGCACTGCATTGTGCCAAATACTTTCTTTAAGTGGTCATGCGAATACTTATGCTTCATTTCTTTCTGGCAGTTCAAGATGTCAACAATCCTAATGCATTGGTGAGAGGGCCAGTTTGGTGTAGTGGTTAAGTGCACGGACTCTAATCTGGGAGAACCGAGTTTGATTCCGGACTCCTCCACTTGCACCTGGCTGGATGACCTTGGGCAAGCCATAGTTCTGACAAGAGCTGTCCTTGAAAGGGCAGTTTTTCCTCAGAGCTCTCTCAGCCCCACCTACCTCACAGGGTGTCTGTTGTGAGGAGGGGAAGGGAAAGGAGTTTGTAAGCCACTCTGAGACTCCGAGTGAAGGGCGGGGTATAAATCCAATCTCCTCCTCCTCCTTCTGAATGTCCCATTTTTGCAAGTGTACTAGCTCACTATGCGTAATCTGCCCTGAGTCCTTGTGAGAAAGGCGGATTATTTGATTTGGGGGTGAAGCCTGGAGACGGTGAGGTTTGGTGAAGGGTAGGGATCTCAGCAAGGTGGAATGGAGGAGGAGGAGGAGGAGATTGGATTTATACCCCGCCCTTCACTACCCAAAGGAGTCTCAGAGCGGCTTACAAACTCCTTTCCCTTCCCCTCCCCACAACAGACACCCTGTGAGGTGGGTGGGGCTGAGAGAACTCTTGACAGAAACTGCTCTTTTTCAAGGACAGCTGTGCCAGAGCTTGAGACTGACCCAAGGTCACATCAGCAGGTGCAAGTGGAGGAGTGGGGAATCAAACCCGGTTCTCCCAGATTAGAGTCCGCGCACTTAACCACTACACCAAACTGGCTCTGGAGTCCACCCTCTGAAGGAGCCGTGTTCTTTAGGGCAACTGATCTCAGTAGTGTGGCGATCGGTTGTAGCTCCAGGAGACTTACAGTCCCCACCTTAGGGTTGCCAGGTCCCCCCTTGTCGCCAGCAGGGTATGGGGGGGAGGTTAGGATTTCTGATCCAGTTTAGGAAGCTCCTGGAGATTTGGGGATGGCGCCCGGGAAGGACAGGGAATTCACTGGGGTGCGATGCCACAGAGTCTACCTTCCAAAGCCTCCATTTTCTCCAGGGGGACTAAGCTCTGTAGTGGGAGAGCAGATGCAATTCCAGGGGGTCGCCAGGTCCCACCTTGCAGGACGGCAGCCCTCCCCTCCCCCTGGCAGCCCTAATACCCCAACCTTCTGAACCCAGCCTCAGAGGCCTTTCTCTTGAGCAGAGGGAGTGCGGTTAAACTAGACTGTCTGAGTGCGTCTGAAAAACAGGGAGGTTTGTTTTCCCCCAGTGCTTTTGTTGTTGCTGTTGTTTTAAAAAAAGGAAGTGCCACTACTCATACATAAAGTTGCACTGATTTCCACCAATTGCCCCTCAGGACTTGGGAGAGCCTTCCCAAAAGGTAAAGGTTTCCCTTGCTTGAAAGCCAGTCGAATCCAACTCTAGCGGTGCGGTGCGGTGCGGTGCTCATCTAAAGTTTCCAAGGCGGAAGAGCCAGCGCTGTCCGAAGACCCGTGGTCATGTGGCCGGCATGACTAGACACCATGGCGCAGGGAACGCTGTTACCTTCCCACCGAAGTGGTACCTATTTATCGACTTGCAATTTCTCGCTTTTGAACTGCTAGGTTGGCAGGAGGGTACTGGTACATAATCTCTTCTGAATGACCAAACCACAGCAAAGGTGTGGAATCTCAGGCGGGTGTTGTTATTGCACCAAATTAGGAAAGGCAGGCATTTTTCAGCCATGCAGGTTCTTGAAGAGTAATTTTAGAATTAAAGCAAATTTTGTTCATGGCTCATCATGAGGTTGTATGTATGGGAGGAGGAATGGGGGGGGGGGGTGGGAGGGGGGGGAGGGTGTGTTACAAATCTGTCCCCAAGCCCGAAAAATTAAAATCCGGGCCTTGCCCCCCTCCCATCTTGCATGTCCCCTCTCCCCGTCTCCCTCATTTTATTGCCAGTCCCTTTCCGCCCAAATGCATTTTCCACTGGATTTTGCATCAACCGTGGGTGGGGGGGCGTTGCCGCTGCGAGCCCGCTTGGGAAAATCCCGGGTTCGTTTCCCACGGTGAGGCCAAGACCGTAGTTTCCCCGCTCCTCCTTGCTGGCTTCTCTTCCAAAATAGCAGCTTCCCAGCCGAGGGGTAAATCCTGATTTGGCGAATCCTCCGTAAGGGGCAGAGCTTGTGGGTGATCCAGGGGTTAAAAGAAGCGAGATCGAAATTCCTAGAGGGCAAGGAAAAACAATGGGGAGAGGACATCAATTGCTGATGGACCTCCCTGCCTCACCACTTCCCCCAGAAATCTCTGTAGGAGCTTTGGAGGTTTCGTTCAGAAGGCATGTTTGGAAGGGCAGAGTTTTCAGGTGCAATTTAGGGACGGGGAGGGGGGAAGGCGGTGTTGGTTTTTTGGGAAAGAAGCAATTCAAGCAAGAGAGAAATAGAAATATAGGGCCGGAAGAGAGTTCAACTCGAATGCAGTCCAGTGAAGGATTGTAAGGAATGTGTGTTTGCATAATGTAGCTTTGCTGGGGAAATTAACATCCACAGAGAAGATTAGCAGTCAATTAAGTGAGTGTGTAACCCCCTAGCTAGGAATTGATTGAGCCCGAACGGGTGGGAGGGTGCAGAAGGTGGTGAAAGCAAAGGAGGGAAACCAGACTGCCTTGCTGGGGAGCTTGAACCTTAATCATAGGTTCTTAACACCCATGTTTAAGGTAATGATGATTTATGGATGGAAACTGGGTTTGCTCTAAATGATAAATTTTAGAATTATTGTTTCAGGGCTGTGTCATCTAGTCGGGAGTTCAACTGGGACCCTCATTTTGGAAGCTGGGGATGGCTGTAATAGCATTGGGATGGCTGTAATAGCCGGGATGGCTGTAATAGCATTGGGATGGAGGGATAGGCACAAATGGACAATGGAAACATGGAAGAATTATGTCTTTGAATGTGTACAATCAGATATATTCGCACAGATAATTACTGAAGAGACACGGGAGGAGAAATGTCAAAAGATTACAAATAAATGGGTGGGATATAAAGAATGGGTGGAAAGGGGGGAAGCCAATCCAAATATCCAAATAGGAATGAAGAATCTGTGCACATGGTTAAAAATATGAAGATACTAGGGGGGGGGGGGAGTGGGGTAAAATGATTGTACAATTATTTAATGTAAGATTATGTATATAAGACTTAATAATAATAATTTAAAAAGGAAGCTGGGTGCACAGAGTGTTCAGCTGGGGACTTCTTGACTCACCAACAAGAGGAGAAGGATGGACTAATGGTTTTGACTTTAAAAGGTCCCTGTTCTGTTGTGTTACTAAGTTCAGTGTTTTTGTTACCTGATGTTAATGGAAAAGTTAAAAACAACAACAACCACAACCCTGTTTTATTATCTTTTGAATGATTGCAAGATTCATTCCAAGTTCCTGCCTCACACAATCCACAAACTGAGGTTACAAGAGCACATTTTTTTATGGCGCTTGGAATCCGTGTGTATCCTTTTGGCGATCTTGAGTGAACGATTTTTTTCATTCTCCATTGAGTTCTAGGAATTTAGGAAAAGTAGTGATTTCATAAGTAACGTGTAAAGTAAAGGTAAAGGTTCCCTTGTTCGAAAGCCAGTCGAGTCTGACTCTAGGGTTGCGGTGCTCATCTCCGTTTCAAAGCCGAAGAGCCAGCGCTGTCCGAAGACGTTTCCGTGGTCATGTGGCCGGCATGACTAAACACCAAGGCGCCGGGAACGCTGTGACCTTCCCACCGAAGTGGTACCTATTTATCTACTTGCAATTTCTTGTTTTCAAACTGCTAGGTTGGCAGGAGCTGGAACTAGAGATGGGAGCTCACTCCGTCATGCGGCAACCCGGGTCTCGAACTGCTGAACTACTGACTTTCCACAGCCTGCAGTTCAGCGTCTTAACCACTTGAGCCACCGCAGCTCCAAGTAACGTGTACGCAGCTGTAAATAACTGTGACAGTACATTTCAATAATTGCAAGCAATTAATTTTTTTCTACTTTTTTTAAATTTGCCTTTCTCTTTTAGGAGTAGAAAAGAGCAAGTCTAGTAGCACCTTAAAGACTAATAAATTTTGTGGCAGGATAGGAGCTTTCCTGAGTCACTGCTCACTTCTTCAGGCTGGGTTCTTGCACTTTTCTACTGCTACAGCTACCCATCATGATCTATCTCCATGGAAGGTATCTGAAGGAGTGAGCAGTGACTCACGAAAGCTCCTCCCCTGCCACAGACTTTGTTAATCTTTAAGGTGCTACTAAACTCTTACTCTTTTCTGCCCCTACAGACAGATGAACATGGCTACTGTGTAGGGCTGCCAAGCCGCAGCGGGAGATCCGCATGTCTTCACAGGATCCCTGCCGCGGGGGACAGCGATACGCGTTGCACCGCCGTTGCCAGGATGTGACGCTATGCATCGCTCTGGCAACGGGCAGCCCCAGCTTTTGAGAATGAATACGTTCTTTCTGAGAGGAGCAATCCTGATGTGGCCAATATTAAACTCTTTGAACGGTTTATAGATGACATTTTTATTTTTTTTACAGAATCCAACTTGGTGGATTCCTTTTTCAAACAGATCAATACTTCACATCAGCTTATAAAATTTGACATTAATTATAATAATCACACCATTAATTTTCTTGACACACTGGTATATGTAAATGAAAAAAAAACAAAATGGCGGCCCAAACTTACCATAAACCAACTGATAAAAATTCGTGTTTATTTTTTGGTTCTTACCACCCATATCATTTAAGGTCTAATTTGCCATGTGGCCAATTTTTAAGAGCAAAAAGGAATTCATCTTCTGTGCATGATTATAGAGTGGAGGCAGAAGCTTTCGAAAAGCAATTTAGAGCAAGGTGTTACCCAGGATCTGTTATAAATAATGCTAGAAGTAGAGCTGATCAAATTATTTGAATATTGGAGGTTTGGATAGATTGCACATTATATTATTACTTACAGTTCCATTATTCAGCCGCTTATCCAGAAGAAGAGAAATTGAAACGTCCATATACCTAGGAAAGGCGTTGTTCAGATACAGGAAACTTTTCACTGGTCATCCTCTACTTGATTTGTGACTGCAGGAGGTCTTTGGACACTTTTATTGCATTTAAGCAAGGATAATCCACCGGTTAGATTTATGTGCATACCTTGTTATCAGTGCCTGGGAGCACAATTACTGTCGTGTTAATTTGTATTTCAGTGTTGGTGCATGATATGCCATGAACAAATATGATTATATTTGTTTTGGGTTGTAGACCACCCATTCACTAGAGACATTTATTTGTAATTTAAACACTTAATATATCTTATACTCAGACATTTCAAGTGTATTTAATCTTTGATGATCTTCCCTTGGCATTTTTCTGCTGTTTTCTACTATTACACGCTAGGGATCCCTGTTTTGTCTTCTGCGTTGGGTTTCCTAGAGACAGCTGAATAGCCGTTGTCCGAAATGGGAGGCAGGGCTGAAGGACCTGATCCAGCAGGGGCCTCTTTTTCTCTTCTAGAAAGTGCTTTGCTTCAAATTACACTGTCCTGTGAATCACCTCACAGGTTGTTTGTGTCTCTCCTCCAGGGCGACCTGCTCTCTGGGAGTCAGGGAAAGCCAGCGGCCTCCCTGTGACCATCCTTTCTTTGGACAGAGACCCAGCGTGGGGAAACGTGTCTGAGGGAGCCAAATACTAGATTGTTTTGGCATTCACCAGCTGAAGTTATCAGTGCTGTGAGACTCTGGGCCCAACTGACGTGCACAGCAGGCCTTGCTTTTAAAGTAATTTTCACACAAAGGTATTTCTGTTTCTCTCTTTCTCTTCTGCTCTTCCTGAGAAGGTCAAAAGCTGGTGAAGTAGTTAGAGTGTAAAACTAGGATCTGGGAGACCCAGGTTCGAATCCCCAGTCTACCATGGAAGCTTTGGCCAGTCACCCACATTGAGTCTAGCCCAGGGGTGTCGAACTCATTTGTTATGAGGGCTGGATCTGACGTAAATGAGATCTTGTTGGGCGGGGCCATGTGTGTCATAAAATGTAATGCCAGGTAGCGGAGATATAAACTTTATAAAGGACTCAGATAAACACAATCAAAGATTTTTAAAACTTTAAATAAAGCATGCTTAAAACACTAGCACTCTTGCTAGTGAAGCAGGGAACAGCTAGGGCTTTGTGGGCTGGATTGGGGCCCTCCGAGGGCCTGATCTGGCCTGCGGGCCACATGTTTGACACCCCTGGTCTAGCCTATTTTACAGAGTTGTTGCGAAGATGAAATGGAGAGGAAGAGCACACAATGTAAGCCGTTTACAAGTCCCCATTGGGAAGGAAAGCGTCACAGACTTGGAGGATGGAAATATCTCCTTATTTAAAACAAAGGGAGATTAAGAGTCTCCCTGCGCTCTCAGAGCTAGTGTGGTTTACTGGGTAGAGTATCTGACTAGAATCTTGGAGGTCAAAGATCAAATATCCACTCTGCTACGGAAGGTTGCTGGTTGACTTTGGGCCAGTTGTATGCTTTCGGTTTGACCTGCCTCACAGGGTTGTTGTGAGGACAGAATGGAGGGGAGGAGAACGATATAAGCCACTTTTGGTCTCCTTTGAGGAGAAAGATGGGGTATAAATGAAGTAAACCAATCAAGATAAATGTGTCTCCCTACAGGCCGTGGAAGAGCCTCAGAGCCGGGTTCCGGAACGTCTCTGTGGGGGAGTGGAAACGCTGAAGATGCAGCCAGCTCGGGTAAGGGATGGATCGCCTATGAAGAAATGCGTGAAGAGAAGCTTGGTGCCTTTTTCCTCCGGCAGTGTTGGAAGGCGCCATTTCTGTTTGTCTTTGTCATTTGGAACCTTTTTCTTTTGTAAGCCGCCTTAGATTTTCCCATGGCTTTCTGCCAGGTGACAACAGCCTGTTCAGGAGGCTGTGTTGGATCACTGAATTTCTTCCATGAATGAAAAGGTGGGGTGCCTGTAAATTCCCCAGGCAAGATTTCTTGTTTTTCTACATTGTGTCAAGTATTCCTTGAAGGTCGAGCTCCCTCCTGGGGTAACTAGAACCTCAGATGACGGGTCTCGATGAGGAGGAGGGTCCGTGGTAGAGGACCAGCTCAGCATGCAGAAGGCTGCAGGTTCAATCCCCAGCATGAGTCTCTGGAGAACCTCTGCTGGTTTGATTAGACAGGACTGACCTTGGTAGAAGAATGGGCTGATTCGGTATGAGGTGCTTCATGTGTCCTTTCTTCTTTGGGCAGGAGTGGGTGGATTAGTGGTGAGATCAGTTGTGTGGAAAAAGTATCTTCCTTCTTTTTCAGTGTCCGGTTTCCTTCGAGGAGGTGGCCGTGCATTTCACAAAGGGCGAATGGGCACTGCTGAATCCTGACCAGAGAGCTTTGTATAGAGACGTCATGGTGGAGAACTATGGGAATGTGGCCTCTCTGGGTAAGGCTCCCTTTTTGTCTTGCTTGATGGACGTGGAAGCTGTGATTTTTGCCACTGTTGCTTCATGTTTATGTTATGTTATCGAGAGCCAGTTTGGTGTAGTGGTTAAGTGTGCGGACTCTAATCTGGGAGAACCGGGTTTGATTCCCCACTCCTCCACTTGCACCTGCTGATGTGACCTTGGGTCAGTCACAAGCTCTGGCACAGCTGTCCTTGAAAGAGAGCAGTTTGTGTCAGAGTTCTCTCAGCCCCACCCAGCTCGCAGGGTGTCTGTTGTGGGGAGGGGAAGGGAAAGGAGTTTGTAAGCCGCTCTGAGACTCCTTCGGGTAGTGAAGGGCAGGGTATAAATCCAATCTCTTCTTCTTCTTCTTCTTTTACCTCACCAGGGTGTCTGTTGTGGGGAGGGGAAGGAAAAGGAGTTTGTAAGCCGCTCTGAGACTCCTTTGGGTCGTGAAGGGCAGGGTATAAATCCAATCTCTCCTTCTTTGCCAAAATAACCTCTGAGCTGCTGTGGGAGCGGGTGGTCCAGAACACGCCTGCCCTGCCTCAAGGATTTTGGCCTGACCAATAGCATTGGTTGAATCCCTGAATCCCATTATAATAGAAATGAAAGTTGAGCATCCCCTTGAAATGGATAATGAATGTCATTACAGTCCTGCCTGTATATTGGTTGGACCTGGTGCTTGTGACGGATGGTAGCATCACACACTCGTTCTCCTTGCCTTCTAATGAGTCAGCAGCCTGAGGGCCAGGCCCTTTGTTTAAGGATTCTGTGGGTCCCATAGAGCCTTCCTCAGCCCAATAGGGATAGAAAGGAATAACAGCAGTTAGTGTGCTAATAGTCAGGTCTGCCTGGTGCAGTTAAAAGTTCTACCACCAGACACATCCAATGGCACACTGGGCTCTTTTCATCCTGCTCGGTCGGGAGGTGTGGAGGCCTTATCTGGTTAATAGTTATGGTTTCTAAATGAAGCTGGATAACGCCTAGATAACTTCTCTAGCCTTTTTTGTTGCAGAGATATAAGGGGAAGGGTTTTTGTCCAGATTGTCTCCTCCTCCCTCTCAACAGATGGGACTGGTCCTTGCCCACTCCTGAGTGGACTGATTACTCTTTTGAATTGTATATTTTTTAAAACTGGGCTCTCTTTGTAACCTCTGACTTCCTGTGGTTTGTAGTATTTTGTATAAATGTATTTGCTTAGTGGATGTTCGCTTCGTGCACCTGAAGAAGTGAGCTCTGATTCGTGGAAGCTTATACGGAAGTAAATCTGTTAGTCTTCAAGCAATCCCTCTGGAATTGCTCTCTGGACTTGTTTTAATTTCAGTTGTTACAAATCTGAACCCACAAGCCTGGATAAATTCTAGGGCATCTATAGTGCTTTCGCACCTGAATAACTCACCTGGGGGATTTTTGTTGTTGCTTAAAAAGAGAAATTGAAGCTTTGCCCTCGTGTTCATCACACTCCACCCTAGGAGCTGCATTGAGTTGCGGGAGAAGTTCCAGAGCGTGCACCTGAATCAGACTTGATGAAGTGAGAACTTTGAAAACTATAGGTTACCTGCCCTTAGATTTCCACTGGTTAAGAGGCAAATTATAGACATTGTGGGGAGGGGGACAAAATGAAATTACTTAAGAGTATAATTGTTTTATCCCCTAGTATTTTTATGGCCTCAGGCCTGCAGCACTTTGAAATCTGATTCTTCTTTGTCTGTCAGAAGATTGACCATAAACTGGCGTGACAAGGTCTTAAAATGATTACCTGAAAAGTCTTCCTTCTCTCTCTCTCTCTCTCTCTCTCTCTCTCTCTCTCTCAAAAGAAATTTTTTTTTGTAGTATTCAGCCTGATGGAAGAGTTCTTGTGAACTTGAATGCTTGCACACTGTTACATGTCGTTGGGTTGGTCCTAAGGCATTATATAGATTGTGCTCTTAGCTTTTTGGATTTCACCACTTAGGGCAACATGAGAAATGTTTTTCTTTTTTTTCTTTTAATCTTGATGATTTTCTTTAGTATTAAGCTTCCAGAAGGCCTTTACAGGCAAGAATCTAAGTCTGGCAGAAGTAGGAAGCTTTAACCTCTGGAGCAGTCTGTCCTTCCAGAAAGAGAGCCAGTTTGGTGTAGTGGTTAAGAGCACAGACTCTAATCTGGGAGAACCGGGATTGATTCCCCACTCCTCTACGTGCAGTTGCTAGTATGACCTTGGGTCAGTCACGAGTTCTCTCAGAGCTGTTCTCTCAAGAGCAGTCTTCGAAAGAGCTCTCTCAGCCCCACCTACCTCACAGGGTGTCTTTTGTGGGGAGGGAAAGGGAAATGAGATTGTAAGCTGCTCTGAGACTCCGAATGAAGGGTGGGGTATAAATCCAATCTCTTCTTCTTCTCCTCTTCCTCTTCTCTTCAAACAGTGCTCGGGCGGAGGTCAAGGGTCAGATAGTCCTGTGCAGGAGAAGGGTCACGTCTGCTAATAAATAGGCCCTGTTGTCTAATTTAGACTCTGATTAGTGATGAACAGAACTTTTGTTCCAGGGAGGCTTAAAAGACAGTGGAATATCTCAAGGCCCTTTAGAGAGGAGGTGGGACCGTTTGATGGAGGAGGGAAAGGATTAGCCTCTCAGTTGAGAGGCTGAGAGAGGAATGGCTAAAAAGCATGGCTGCCTTGGCCACCAAAATGTTGTGTCTATCCAAGTTTCATGAGCAGCTGACCTACCTGAAGAGCGATGCTTTCAGGATTCTGTGCTGGTTTCTGTTACCTGTTCATCTGCTGGGGTGAGGAACTTTCCTTCTCCCTTGCGGCCTTTTTGAATGTGAACGTTGAAATGGATGATGCAGGAAGGCCTGAATTTTTTTGTAGTAACTAGTCTTTTTGTTTCAGAATCCAAAGCAATTCTGAAGCCGGGCCTCATCTCCTGGCTTCAGGAAAGTGAAGCACCGTTTCCCCCAGACCCCGAAGAAGAGGAGAGGCCGACAGGTGGGTAGTTAGAGGAGTGATGGGCCTCTTTGTCGGTTGGGGATTGGGCGGTTTCCTGGGAGGTTTTGAATGGCCCTGATCAGCCAGATGTTTTGAACGGCCCTGATTGCTCAGGCTGTGAGCTCATGTATCCCTCCCGTGGCTCCGCCGGCCTCTGAGGTTTCATTCCTCGTAAGAGTTTTTAACGGGAGGGGAAGGCTGAAACAGGCCCATTCCTCTCAGTGTTGATCCAGACGTGTGGGCCTTGGATCTTGACCTTGATTCCACCCACCTGGAAGTATCTCCTGACCACGCCATTTGAGGGGAAAACTCTTTGTTTTCCCCTCAAATGGCGTGGCCCCGCCCCTAGTGTGTGACGTCACTTCTGGGTGATGCACACGCGGCGCGCACGCACGGAGAGGACGCCGTCCGGGAGCCCCCCCCTCCCGGACAAATTCGATTTGGCAACCCTAATCTTGACCTTGATTCCACCCACCTGGAAGTATCTCCTGATTCTGGGCTGTTTACATAGCAGGAACAAGATCAGAGTTTTGGGGCTTCTGTCCCCTACTTTGGTGGAGGGAAGGTGGCAAGAGAGACTTGGGGAAAAGATCGTACAACAGGATGGTGCGGTGTCAGGAAAACAGCAGGAGGGTTAAAGAGGGAGCTCAAATGGTATTCCCTGTACTTCATAGCTTGATCATAAGAACCTAAGAAGAGCCCTGCTGGACGAGTCCAGCCTCCTGTCTCACACAGTGGCCAACCAGTTCCTCTGGGATAGCGAGCGATAGGGCAGAGAGGCCGAGGCCTTCCCCTGATGTTGCCTCCTGGCTCTGAGACTGAGAGGTTTAGTGCCTCTTAATATGGAGGTTCCCCTCAGTCACCAGTCTCCACCCCACCTACCTCACAAGGTGACTGTTGTGGGGAGAGGAAGGGAAAACTGCTGTAAGACACTATGAGCCCCCTTAGGGGGCATAAAACCAACCCTCCTGTAAGGTATACTATGTAATCCCTGACCTGGATAGCCCAGGCTAGCCTGATCTCATCAGATCTCGGAAGCTAAGCAGGGATGGCCCCTTTTAGTGCTCGGATGAGAGACCACCAAGGACGTCCAGGGTCGCAATGCAGATTCAGGCAATGACAAAACCTCCTCTGGGTGTCTCTTGCCTTGAAAACCCCATTAGGGGTTACTGTAAGTCAGCCATGACTTGACGGCAAAAAAAAGCCCCATGCTACTGTACCTAGCAGTTCGAAAGCAAGAAATGGCAAGTAGATAAATAGGTACCACTTCAGTGGGAAGGTAACAGCGTTCTGTGCGCCTTGGTGTTTAGTCATGCTGGCCACATGACCATGGAAACGTCTTCGGACAGCGCTGGCTCTTCGGCTTCGAAACGGAGATGAGCACCACAACCCTAGAGTCGGATTCGACTGGCGTTCGAGCAAGGGAACCTTTACCTTTACCTTTTACTGTGCAGTACTTCCTTTTTGCATGCAGTGAAAAGGTGATATTTTTCTCTTCCAGGGATGTCTGGTCTTTGAATTACAGTCAAATAAAGTGACTGATACAGTATCTTACTTACTTGGTATAATTATTTTTGTACGTATGCTGCTTTAATGCCACTGTGCTCCACATCCAGCTTTTAAAGAAAAATACGCACTATTTTTTCTTCAGCCTCAGTATCACAACAGTTTCTCTGCTGAGACATCCACTACTCTACTTGGCTTTTGCTCATGATGGAAAATTCAGCTATAGTCAAAGTAAAAAGTTCATTTAGCCAGCATGTTTGATTAACCGGGAGCCTCCATTTTCACGAGTGTTGAAATTCCATTTTCACAAAGCTTTTACAGTTAAGCAACTTCAAAAGTGAGAGTGTTCTGGTAAGAAAGCTGTAAGAATGCAAGAAGAGTCCTGCTGGATCAGATCAGTGGTCCATCTAGTTCAGCATCCTCTCTCACACAGTGGCCAACCAGTTCCTGTGGATGGCCAACGACATAGCAGAGAGGCTGAGGCCTCCCCTGAATGTTTCATCCTGGCATTGGTATTCAGAGTTTTGTTACCTCTGATCACGGAGGTCCCTTTTTAGTCCCCATGGTTAGTAGCCACTGACAGACCTCTGTTTATTGGTTCAGAAACAATCCTGGCTGCTGAAGTAATGAAATGATGTTATCAGCATATGGATGAGAGCCTCCTCAAAACTCCATGCAGCCCCTCCGAGGATTTTGTGTGGATGTTAAACAAATGCTTCTGATTTGTTTATTTATTTTACACTTCTATATCCCACCTTTCCATCTTCATAAGAGCCGCGAACTCCGCTGTCAAATTAAAACATATCTAATAAAATTAGATCTTAAAAGGCATCAAAAGAAAGAAAAACACTTTATAGAACCTAGAGCTAGAATACAAAACAAAAAAAAACAATGGGTGGGAAGGAAAAATCACGGAGGGAATGCCAAATGAAACAACAACAAAGACTCCACCCCACTGATGGAAGATGGTATGAGAAGGGGACAGGGCAGTCTCCCCAGGGAGAGGGTTCCAGAGTTCTGGTGCCACAACCGAGAAGGCCCTTTCCCGGAGAAGATGTCCATAGTGCTCAGATAGATTCATAAGTCAGTGGAAGTCCTTTGGGGCTGTTGGTTCCAAACCATATAGGACTTTAAAGGTGGAAAGCAGCCCCTGTAGGACTCTGCCCTCATCCCTTCCATGTGGGGGTCTTCTGTGGTGCTGAACTCTGTCCTCTGATCCACCTTTCTTCTGCACTAAGGACATAAGAACATAAGAGACGCCAATGTTGGATCAGGCCAAAGGCCCATCCAGCCCAACACTCTGTGTCACACAGTGGCCAGAAATACCAGGTGCCATCAGGAGGTCCACCAGTGGGGCCAGGACATTAGAAGCCCTCCCACTGTTGACCCCCCCCAAGCACCAAGAAGACAGAGCATCACCTGCCCCAGAGCCCCTATCTATACCTTGTGGCTAATAGCCACTGATGGACCTCTGCTCCATATGCTTATCTAATTCCCTTTTGAAGCCGTCCATGCTTGTAGCCGCCACCACTTCCTGTGGCAGTGAATTCCATGGGTTATCCATGAGTTATCACTATCCATGAGTGGCTCATACTTTAGAAAATGAAATGAATGAAACCATTCCTATGAAAGCCTTTAGTCTAAATCTATTTTGTACCATTATACTTAAATATTTTTGGGCTACTGTGTCAAAAGCTGGTTAGGAGGATTAAATAGTATCCACAGGGGAGCAGTGAACTCTTCAGAAGAAAACCATTGACAAGGACTGCCAACGTTGCCTCTATCCCATTGCCAGTGTAGAAGCCAGATTAAAATGGAGAAAAGAACTTGGTCGGTCTTAACTCTGCAAAAACGTTAGCTCTGTTATGACTGCAGATTATAGACTTATTTACCCTTCTAATCAGGTCTTTCTTCCACCAGGTAACAGCCAAGAAGATGAGAATTATAGCGAGCGATGTGCGGCGTCTCTCAAAAGGACCAGCCACGAGGTGGAGGAAAAGCCTTCCAGGGCTCTGAATGTGGAAAAGGCTTCAGCAGGCTCGTAAGCCTCACTTCTCATCAGAGAATCCATAAGAGGGAGGAACCATACGAGAGGCAGGAAGAAAGCAAAGTAGAGAAGTCAATGAATCAGTCTGTAGTTTTCCAGGCTGGCATCATCCTTGAAAATTCACCCCAAAAAGAGAATCACAAAGGAAAGAGGAGGAATAAACATTCTGAAAGCGGAGAAGTCTTGAGATGTGAATCCAGCTTTTCTTCCCATCAGAGAATCCATGCAGGGGCTGAAACATACAAATGCTCTGAATGTGGGAAGGGCTTCAGCAGGCTCGTAAACCTCACTTCTCATCAGAGAATCCATAAGAGGGAGGAACCATCCAAGAGTTCAGAGTGTGAAAACAGCTTTGGTCTGAGTGAAAGTCTTAGTTCCCATCAAAGAACCAACACAGGGCAAAAACCATGCCAGTGTTCAGAGTGTGGCAAGAGGTCGAGCTGTGACAGAGCTCCTACTTTGCATCAGAGAATCCATTCAGAGGAGAAAGAATATAAATGCTTGGAAAGTGGAAAGGGCTTCCGATGGAGTTCAAACCTTAGTGTCCATCAGAAAATCCACTCAAAAGAGAAACCATATAAATGCTTGCTGTGTGGAAAGAGCTTCACTCTCAGTAAAAGCCTCACTTCCCATCAGAGAATCCACACAAAGGAAAAATCGTATGAGTGCTTGGAGTGTGGAAGGACCTTCCGTTGGAAAGCAGCTCTCATTTCCCATCAGAAAATCCACACGAAGGAGAAACCGTATGAGTGCCTGGAGTGTGGAAAGACCTTCCGTTGGAGCACAGCCCTCACTTCCCATCAGAGATTGCACACAAAGGAGAAACCATATGAGTGCTTGGAGTGTGGAAAGACCTTCAGTTGGAGCACAGCCCTCACTTTCCATCAGAGAACCCACTCAGGGGAGAAACCCTACCAGTGCACAGTGTGTGGGAAATGCTTCAGTCAGAGTCCACACCTTACTTCCCACCGAAGAGTCCATTCTAGAGAGAAACCCTATAAATGCCAAGAGTGTGGGAAAGGCTTCAGTCAGAGCTCACACCTGAAGGTACATCAAAGCGTCCACACGGGAGAAAAGCCGTATAGATGCTTGGAGTGTGGAAAGAGTTTCCGTGTAAACACAAGCCTTAAATCACATGAAAGAATCCACACTGGGGAGAAGCCCTACAGATGCCTGGATTGTGGAGAAAGCTTCAGTCAAAGCTCAGGCCTTCGTATGCATCAAATAATCCACACAGGAGAAAAGCTATATAAATGTATGGAATGTGGAAAGAGTTTCCGTAGCAGCGGAGACCTTAAATTACATGAAAGACTCCACACAGGAGAAAAGCCATATAAATGCTTGGAGTGTGGAAAGAGTTTCCGTCTCAGCACGTACCTTAGACTGCATGAAAGAATCCACACAGGGGAGAAACCATATAAATGCCTGGATTGTGAGAAAAGCTTCAATCAGAGTTCAAGCCTTAATACACATACAAAAATCCACACGGGGGAGAAGCCCTATAAATGTTTGGAGTGTGGGAAGAGTTTTAGCAGCAGTTCAGAACTTAACACACACAACAGAACTCACACAGGAGAGAAACCATTTAAATGCTTGCAGTGTGGAAAGACTTTCTCCACCGGCACACAGCTTACAGAACATCATACAATCCACACCGGAGAGAAAAAATATAGATGCAGGGACTGTGGGAAAAGATTCAGATGGAGAAGCAATTTTATGTCCCATCAAAGAATGCACAAAGAGGAGGAATTGTAGAAATGATGAGACGAAAAGTTTTTTTAATACAACAAACCTTACAGATGTCAAATAAATTACAGAGGACCCCAAATTCATTAATAATTAGCAATAATTAATTTTTTTGCAAGTCCTCAAACCTAGTAAACAGCCAGGAATCTAATAAGGGAAAAGTGCTCAAGAGATGTGCGGTAAACCTGACCATGTAATATTGCTTATTATTCATAATCTTCCTACAACGGGTAGATATTCTGTCAACATTAAAATGGCACTATTTGCTCTTTGTGGGTTTAGCTGATAACCCCATGAGACAATAATGGCACCAAATAGCCACAGGGATTTAATTTCTCAGAAATGTGCTTGCAGATGGGAAACTCCCCACAAAGGGCTGCAGATTCACTCTTCCATGCCGAGCCCTCTGCAGCCCAGCATTGTATCCTTTGTTCCCAGTGACTACAATACACTATTTACTCGCCTCCTGGTTTTCAGCCAAGTCATCCTGGCGCATCTTTGGACCATTCTCCATAGGGAGAGAAGATGCCCATTTCCGAGCCTTCTCAGTTGAGATCTGCCTTCCATCTTGAAAGCAGAGAGGCTGCTATTACCCGCCATGGCTGTTCTGTATGTGTTGAGTGTCCTAAAGCAGGGGTGTCTAACCTTCTGACATATTGGGGCCACATAAGAGTGCTCTGTGTCTAAAGGGGGCCACATCTTAGACCAAACGTAAATATTCAGAGGTTAATGAAGAAATGTTAATATTTAGAGGTTAATGAAGAAATTGATTGATGTCCTATCGCTGCTCAATAGAGAGCATTTTAACATATTGTGTCTGTGCCTGGTTTGCCAGTTGTACGGCTGTGGAGAGGAAAGCACTCCAGAGAGTTGTCATCACAGCCCAGAAGATCATTGGCTGCCCTCTCTCATTCCTCGAGGAATTGTATAGTTCTCGATGTTTGAAAAAAGCAAAGAATATTCTGCAGGACTTGTCACATCCTGAACACTCCCTGTTTGAACTGCTGCCTTCGGGCAGAAGATATAGGACAATTAAAACAAGGATAAGCAGATTAAAAAATATTTTTTATTCGAGAGCTATTATTGCCTTAAATGCTGTATGAAATAGAAATCTGGGTGACATTGGTGGTTTTAAGTTGCTTTGTGAACCTTAAGGGAGTTATGAGACAGTTGTGAATGGAGTGTGAGTGTATATGAATATTGTTGTAGATCACCGAAATGATTGCATCTTTAATTTCGTTGTATTATGTACAATGACAATAAAGTGTATTATTATTAACTTGAACAGAATCCATTTTGGAACAATAGTTTACTCTGGAATCCTTTTATCTAGCTACACATGCTCCCCAAGTCAGTGTGATTTTTGTGGTTGATTTCTGTTAGCCAAGGCATTAATGCCCAAGTCAAGGTTTGTGATGGATACCCTTAAAATGTCATGTAAATGTTTATCTGTAAGTCATGACCTACACTTGAATTTTCATTTTGGAAAGGTTATTCACAGATGTATGTGGTGCCAGACTGTGAACATGCCTGCAGCAAATTTCTTAAGGTTGATAAATATATCAGGTAGACCAGAATAGAAATCTAACAGACTACTTTCTTTGTAAATGTCTGAGAAATTGACATCTACACGGGGCTGCCTTTGTCGCAAATCCGGAAGCTGCAGCTGGTGCAGAATGCTACAGCCAGGCTGTTGGTGGGCGCCCCTAGGTGGGAGCACACCCGACCTGTACTGAAAGCGCTGCACTGGCTGCCTATGCGCCCTTGATCTATGCACCAAATCTTAATCAAATATCCTTTTTGGAAGTGTCTTTTTGCCTGCTAGATTTATTACCAGAGTTGTGAATTTGTTAAGCGGCTTTGGACTCCACTTAATACAGAATAGAATTTTGATTTGGGCATGATCATTGTACCTTCCTTGACTCATTATACCCTTTGATGAAGGATTTTCTTTGAAACGGTCTGAATATCATGTAGAATACTGTTGGTGTGGTTCCCCAGGAGAAAACAGGGCTTTCTATGTGGAGGGGGGGTTCCTCACCAAACTACAAGTCCCATAGTGCCTTGTGTGTTGGCTGGAGGGAGAGATACCTGGTGGGAAGGGCAGAGCAACCTGGGTTGCTTCTCTTGGCGGGATTCGCAGCCCCCAAAATATATGTAAGTGAAGTGGAAAAGCCTTGGGGGGGGGGGAGCTTTAAAGTTTATGGGCCTAACGTTTGCAGCTGCGTTGGTTCGTGAGCATGAAACAAAATTAAGAGACAGACGGGATAATCCCTTTTGAATGACCAAGCGGGTTAGCAAACGGTTAGCAAACGTGTAGAAACTCAGGGGGTGTTGTTATTCCCCCAAACTAGCAAAGACAAGACATTTCCCAGCAATGAAGCACATGGAAGAGTACTTTCAGAATGAAAGTAAACCCCTTTTTAATAGCTCTTGAGATTGTACATAGGGGGGAAGGGAGGGAATGTGGCGTGGGAGGGGGAGAGCGCGTGTTCCAAGTCTCTTGCCCAAATGTACCAAGCCCGGAAAAATAAAACTCCGGCCTTGCCCTCCCCCCTTTTCTCTTGCATTCCCCCTCTCCCAGTCTCCCTCGCTTTATTGCAAGTCGCTTTCCGTCCCTGCTTCCTCCTCGCTGGTTTCTCTTCCAAAAAAAGCAGCTTCCCAGCCTGATTTGGATAATCCGTAAGAGGTAGAGTTTTTGGGTGGCCCAATGGTTAAAGGAAGCGAGTTTCCAAATTTCTAGAAAGGAAGAAAAGTGGGGAGGGGGGCATCAACTGCAGGTACACCTTTCCGAACCACCATTTCCCTCGCCCCCAAGAAATCCCAGTACAGGAGTTCTGGAGATTCCGTTCCAAAAGGCTGTTTGGAAGCGTAGAGTTTTCAGGTGCAGTTTAGGGACAGTTTGGGAAGGGGAAAGGAGTTGTTGCTTTTTTGGGAAGAAGCAATTAGAGCAAGCGAGTGATAGAAATAGAGTGAAGGAAAGTTCAAATCAAGTGCAGTCCAATGAAGGATTGTATGCTCTGTGCGTTTGCATACTGCAGCTTTGCTGCGAAAAGTAACTCCACAGTTGATTTTTTAATGGTGCTTTGAATGCATCCAAAGTGAACGATTCCGGGGCCCCCCATCCCCCATTGAGTTCTGGGAATTTATGGAAAGCTGTGATTTCAAAAGTAACCAATATGCAGCTGTAAATAACTGTGACCATCTTACATTTTAATAATTGTGAACAATTTGATTTTTTCTACATTTAATTAATTTTTTTTAATTGCCTTTGTCTTTTAGGAGTAGAAAAGAACAAGAGTCTAGTAACGGTAAAGGTAAAGGTTCCCTTGCTCGAAAGCCAGTCGAGTCCGACTCTAGGGTTGCAGTGCTCATCTCCGTTTCCAAGCCGAAGAGCCAGCGCTGTCCGAAGACGTTTCCGTGGTCATGTGGCCGGCATGACTAAACACCAAGGCGCACAGAACGCCGTTACCTTCCCACCGAAGCGGTACCTATTTATCTACTTGCAATGTCTTGCTTTCGAACTGCCAGGTTGGCAGGAGCTGGAACTAGAGATGGGAGCTCACTCCGTCATGCGGCACCCGGGTCTCGAACTGCTGAACTACTGACCTTCCACAGCCTGCAGTTCAGCGTCTCAACCACTTGAGCCACCGCAGACTAACAAATTGTGTGGCAGGGGATGAGCTTTCCTGAGTCACTTCTCAGTTCTTCAGGCTGGGTTCTTGCACTTTTCTACTGCTACAGACAAGCACGGCTACCCATTGTGATCTATCTCCATGGAAGGCTATCTGAGGAAGTGAGCAGTAACGCACAAATCTCATTCCCTGGCACAAACGTTAGTCTTTAAGGTGCTCCTAGGCTCTTGCTCTTTTCTACTCCATAGACAGACGAACACAGCTACTCACCTTATCTTTCTCTTTTAGGCTTTCCCTTACTTAGTTGACATATGGTTATGCACAGGGGTCATTTCCTGCAGGAGCGCACAGGAGCGGAGCTCCGGCAGTAAAGAGCTCAGGGGGCGGGCACATGCAACAAGCCCCACCCCCTGCTCCCAGCAGCCCTCACTCAGAGCAAGAAGCAGCCAGGTAAGTTGCAGAGCCCCCCCCCCTCCAAAACAGTCCAGTGGCACGTTTAAGACCAAGTTTTATTCAGGTACAAGCTCTCCCTCCTCTGCGAGGACAGATTTGCACATTTCGCCCCACCCCCAATAGCTAGCAATCCAAAACAGTCCAGTGGAACCTGAGCGGTGGGTGTTGCCTTCTGACACACCTCCGGTGATGTCAGGGGGTGTGGTATATGCAAATGAGCTATGCTAAAGAGTTATGCTAATGACCTCCTGCACCTCTTTTTCTAAGAAATGACCCCTGGCAATGTTCCCTCTAAGCTGTGGAGTCTTGTGAGCAAAAAATCTACTTTCTGAGCTACTGGTATTAAAGTTGTGAGCAAGTGATTTGGCTACTGCATACATTAGTTTGCTCTGGAGCCATCTTTCCTGAGCTAAGACAAAAATGTGTGAGCCAAAGACTAAAAAACTGTGAGCGAGCTCACACTAACTCAGCTTAGAGGGAACACTGACCCCTGGTTATGCATATCTGTTGTTTGATTTATTTATTAGTTTCATTTCAAGTCCGCCTTTCTCACTGAGACCCAAAGGTGAATTATGCGTATGATTAAAAAAAAAAAACATTTCCAGTCAATGAGTAAACAGATTACAATCATAAAGTCAGACAAGCAGTGAGTGGAGTACAAGATGTAATGAGATTTCAGCAACATTTCTTAGTAAGACAAAATAATGCAGCTGTGAATGATAACAAGATCCTGTTAGGAGTGTCATCAAAACCAACAGATTTCTATGGAACCACTCTGGACAGGAGGGAATGGGGACAGGCCCCCTTGTCCACTTTTGTGCATCTCTTCCAAGAAGAATTGTCCCCTTCCCATCAACATTAGGGAACTGAAAGATAATTTTTAAATCCCAGAATGCCTACTGGT